CAAGCCCCTGATGAGCTTCAAATTCAAGTGCTTACGAGTTTCTACCACTACATCTGAGGAGAATCTTTCTCACAAAGACTCAATGACCACAGGCTTGATGCCTTTCCAGGGGTGTCTGTGCGAGGGCTGGGGTCCCTGGAAATGCTGACGCCGGGTCATGGGGCAAGCATTCCTGGCAGGTTTACTCTGGGAAAATGTAGTTTTGGGAGCCCTGTGCTCTAGCAGTTCATTACTAGCGGTGGGATTGACAGAGGCGGCAATTTTTGCTTCACAGCTGCAGGACTGAGGGGAATTCAGGGTTTTCCAGAGCTTTGGAAACTTTTTGGTTTTACTCTAGATTGGACCAAACCCAAATATTACATATGGTGTCCAGTTCAGAGCAAAATGATAAAGTTTAGGGGGGTAAAAAAACCCTCTATGCAGGCATTTTGTTTCCCATACGTATGTCTATACAACAGCTGCAGATAGATGAGCATGAGAAAGCTGGAGCCTCCACTGGTGAGGAGCATGTCCTGCTCAGCTGTGTTCTCAGCCAATGCCTACAAACTCAGCACCAAACACTCATAGAATCATGGAATATCCTGAGTTGGAAGGGACCCACAAGGATCATCGAGTCCAACTCCTGACCCTGTACAGGATAACCCCCAAAATCCCATCATGTGCCTGAGAGCATTGTCCAAATGCTTCTTGAGCTCTGTCAAGCTTGGTGCTGTGACCACTGCCCTGGAGAGCTGTTCCAGTGCCCAACCACCCTCTGGGGGAAGGACACTCCTCCTCACACACCAAGATTTGTCTTGTCACTGTGTTTAACCCCAATGGCTCATGATTATTTTACATTTTAAATGCGGAGCATGCTTGCCTTGTGCATTACACATCTTGCTTGGGAAGCTACCATTGCTACAAGAGACCTTTGAAACTTGAAAGACCCTCGAGACACTGTAAACTCTGTGTGTATTGCATGGAATAACAGAATGGTTTGGGTTGGAAGGGACCTCAAAGCCCATCTAGTTCCAACCCTCTGCCATGGGCAGGGACACCTTCCACTACCCAAGGGTGCTCCAAGCCCCATCCAACCTGGCCTGGAACACTCCCACGGATGGGGCAGCCACAGCTTCTCTGAGCAACCTGTTCTAAATCCACCCCCTCTGAAAGGTGCAGTTTTAGGCCCTTTTCACGTCCATGGCTAACATGAACATGTGATGGCTGCAGAAAAGTGTGACCTTTGCTGCTCGTGTTCCTGAAGCAGCAAAGCCCATAAGCTCCTGCT